TTTATATAAAAATCTTTATATAGTTTGCATAACAATGGTCTTTTGTTAAAGTGTTCTTTAGCTGATATAAAGACGTATGCACGTGACTAATTTCTTACTCAAGATTGGATAATTGCTTCATGAATTATTAATGAGTTTTTGAAGAAAAATTACAGTCTATCGACAATTAAATATTATTGTTTCATAAAATAAAAATCTTCGTTTACATCAAAGAAAAACGAAACCCGACGAAGAATGAACTATCATTTTGTAATCTTATAAGATATTAGTAAAACAGTGACAGTAGTGACGTTCAAAGCATGCAAAAATGTTTTATGAGTAAATTTCGAGAAACCGGCGAAAATACTTTGTTTACAAGGCTGCACGATGTTCACCGTTTTTGTAACTGCACATTTGCTTTGACAGTTTGTGCCTTCAAAAAACTCAAAATCTATCCCCAAACTACAAATTAGACAACAAGATAAACGTTTTGACGATGAAAACGTAGTTTTATACTTTGTAGTTTCAGCACTCCTAGTCAAATTCACACATGGCGGATTTATAAGGGCACGCATGAGAAAAAGTGGAGACATGATTCGTGATCAAGTACGCATTCTATATCTATTATTTCTATGAGTATTATACACAATGCAGCATTATTATCCACGATACATCATTTCTTCATTTATTATATATATACTGTATATTCAAATTGAAATCACTGGTGTTCATGGCCAGAAATTCAGGACAACATGGCGATTGTCATACGCAATATACTTCCTCATTCATTATTCAAGATGGCTGATTTATATATAGATTAAGTATTGCAAATATATGTTTTAGCAATTTCCAACGTTTTTCGTACATAAATCCGAGCTCTGCACGTCGAAAACATCATTTAATTACTCGATCCTTTAACCCAATAAATTTCAGAACAGTTCAAGTAGGACAAACCAGTTCCCGAGAACTATATTCCTACCTTATCTCATCACATATACCAGATAGTTAATTCTCCCAAAATTCGCAAACTGCACATTTTTGAGCAGCATTTTAGGACATTCGTGGGCAGTACATGGAGC